TATTTAAGGTTTATGGTTCGGGACTTTTGTAGTTGTTAGATATTACTTAGGAGGATAGGCTATCTTTTAAGTGCAATGGGCCTTTTCATGGGTCTGGGGTTGAAGGTATCACATAAGGTTTAGGGGTTTGGGGTAAACCTTTTCGGGTTTAGGGTGGAGGGTGTTTGGCTTGGGAGTGTCAAAAAGTATTTAGAACCCTAAGCCCTATAATCTCGAAACCCTTATAAGCCCACCCTAAAACACTGTATAAAAAATACCCTACACCCTGAACCTTAAACCTTAAACCCAAAGCTTTAAACCCTGAACCCTAAAGTTGATCGAACTGAATGCCACAACACTTTCAATAACACGGTCCAGGCTCTTGGGGTTTCTTGAGTTTGATTAAAGTTTACAGGGTCAGGCTTCTGTATAGGGTTAGAGGAAAAGCTGCACATAACGGTGGGTTGTGGGGTTCGGGATTGGAGGGTTCTGCAGGGTCTCGGATTTAGAGTGGAGTTATTGCCAGGTCGAGTTTGATTTCCAGGAAGCCTAGACACAGGGTGTATTCGGTGCGAGAAAGTCATAGTACTATACCTGTGGGTTAAGTGGACTTTAAGCCTGCTGGGCTTGTGTATTGTTTCGAGCTAGTGCAGGGCCTATACAATACAGTGGGCAACAGGGCATCAGTCAGGAATTTACATAACATCCAGGGCTCGAGATCCGAAAGGGTTTTTGGGATTTGGCTGTGTTTTTTGCATAACATCCAGGGCTCGAGATCCGAAAAGGTTTTTGGGATTATGCAGGAATTTACATAACATCCAGGGCTCGAGATCCGAAAAGGTTTTTGGGATTTGGGAGTGTTTTATAAGACCCTGTAAACATGGCCTTTGTTGAACTGCTGTGCCGGCCAGCCTGCCATGCAGGGTCGTATAGCGATGCAGGGGAGATAGGATTTGAGTTTGCAGGTTCTCCAGGGCTCATGTGCAGTTTATGCGAAATATAGGGTTGGGGGCTCAGAATTTCTAGTCCTATGGGTTTACATATAAGCAGTGGCAAAGATTCAGTTCTGGATCGAGGATTCAGGGTTTTGGGCTCTCGAGGTTGAGGGCTTGAGGGCTATATGGGTGTGGGACTCGGGATTTATGGCTCAGGGCTGAAAAGCGCCGGTGTGGACTCTCCTCGGTGTAAAACTCTCACACAGGTCCGGAAAGACTCTCAAGGTATGAAACTCTCTAGGTGTGCACTCTCAAGGTGTGTACTCTCAAGGTAACTTGCAACCCTGACCCGAATCCCTTTCCCACAGTCGCGAGAGATGTTGCAAATCGCAATGCATGGGTGTGCAGCTTCTTCAGCCAGCCCAAAGCAAAATCTAAAAGCCACCACGGCAGAATGTCATCTGGAGCATATACCCTGTTGCAGTGCTACTGCCTGAACCCTAAATCCTAAACCCTAAACCCTAAATACACACTTCACATGGGCTTCACCGACGAAATCTCGCAAACATGTACATACTAGACCGACACACATGACCCCTAAATCTGACAATTGGTGTTATGTGGCATGCTACGAAGGACTTGCTATAAGTAATGTGCAACGACATTCGGGTGGCTCTGCTGTTGTTGTGACAACAGTCACCTACATCAAAATGCCTTCGGATGAAAAGTTGAAGGGCTTAGTTCTTGTTGCTTCGCACGGATCCTTTGGCCATCTCCACATCCCGATTGAGCTGGGCTGTGTCCGTCGCCACCTGCAACAGGATCTTGTCAAGCATCTCTGAGGTCACGGGCTCGTGGTTCTCGGACTCCTTGAAGCTGAGGATGTGCTGCAGAGTGCTGTGATGTTTCTTCGCAGTCATGTGGCCCTTCTTCAAGTCCTTCAGCTTGTCTGCGGGCACCTCCGACGAACTCTTGGTAGCGAGGTGCAAAGCCTGCTTGCTCAACTTTTCCTGCACGGCCATCGCCTCCTCGATCATCTTCTCCACTGCCGGCGGGATCTTGCCCTGGTCCAAGGCCTTCTTGTCCTTGCTCGCAAGCTTGTAGCTCCACTTGAGCTCGTCCATGAGGCCCGAAAGCTCGCTGTAGTCCCTCGTGGTCAGAGACTTCTTCCCCTCTGTCCTGTTCTCCGTCACGACACCTCGATCAAGCCCCTTGACCTGCTTCTTGAAGTTGTAGAACTTGGTGCCACACTTGCCTGTCTCCTCAGTCACCTCGCCCTCGTCGATGGCCTGCTGCATCCTTGCCTCGTTGTTTGCGAAGAACCTGCCACAAAACACCAGGCGGGTGTACCCCTCCTCTTCGGCGATGTGATACCGCTTTTCATAAGCGGCTTTTGCTTGGATAAAGACGGCGTCGTCGGTGCATAGCTCGAGGGAGGAACCCTTCCGGATAAAGAGTTTATTTATTATTTGTGTTCTAAACTGCCTCTTCGATTCCCCCTTTGGGGGATGATTATACAGCTCCATGACGAACTCGGGTATGGCCCCCTGCTGCTGCATTTTGCTGAATTTCTCCCCCTTCCCCTTGTCACGACTGTGACAAGGGGAACTCTCCGGAGAGCAACCCTTGGTGCCCTTGGTCCAGTCAGCAACCTGGCTGTTCAGGGCACCTCGCTGCTCATCGTCGTCGTCGCCCTTTGCACCGGACGGTTTCTTCATCTTCTTGGGCATCACCATCGCCGTGGAGGCTGCTGGTCGCTTCATGATCTCGCTGAGCACACGGTCGCACCAGCTCCGGATCGCACACACACACCAGGGGCCCAGGACACACGGGGCTAAGGATCTGCTGAGAAGCCATTCAAATCAGGATTGTCATTGCTCTCCCAAACCACACAACACAATCCGGAGTTTAGGGCTTGTGGTTTTGTTGTCGGGGTTTGGCGGTGTCTGTCTTAGGGCTTCATTATAGCATGTTTGGGCTGAGGTTTCCGGAATGGGTTGGGGTTTTGAGGTCGAAGTTTAGTCGAAATTTCGATCAAACTTCGACCACTTCGATCGAAGTTTGGTCGAAATTTCGACCCTTGTACCCGAAGTTTAAGTCGAAGTTTAGAGTAGCCTAAATAAAGCTTTTACTCGAGAGGGGCACACAATCTAACAATAATTTGGTCGAAGTTTCGACCAAACTTCGACTTCACGAGTCGAAGTTTGGTCGAAATTTCGACTAAACTTCGACCTGGAATCCTCGATCTATTCCCAAAACCTAAACCCTAAAATGAAGCCACACAGGCACCAACAGTGGAAACCACACAAGCCCGACACCGCCGAACACCGAACATCAGAACCCCAAGCCTCAAAGCCAGAACCCCCGCCCCCCAACCCCCACCCCCCCAAAAGCCCTAAAGTTAAGCCTTAAACCCTAAACCCTAAACCCTTTTCCTAGGCTTTAAAACACTAAAGGCCCAAGCCTTGAAACCCCTCAACACCACAGAAGCCCCTAAACCACGAAGCCCCGACACCCTATCAAGCCCCACCAGCACACCTCGAAAGTCGAAACACCCGCCCAGTCCGTGAAAGCCCCAGACAAACCGCCCAGACCCCACCCACCTCTTCTGTTGAAGTCCTGTGGCTCCGTGGTTTGGGGCTGGGGAGTTCGGGCTTTACTGCTTTGGGTCTTCGAGCTTGGGGGGTGCTTTGAGCTTCGGGGCCTCTTATCGAGTGATTCGAGGGGGCTTTGGGGCCCTGGGCTTTGAGGTAGTTCGAATTTGGGGGTTTGGCCTCCATCTCGTGTGTTTGGGTTAAAGGACTTGGGGTTTAGGGTTTAGGGTTTAGGGGAGTTGAAAGGGTTTTCGGCTCTGGTTGCTTGGGGCCCGGCCGAGTTTTGTTTTGGGGCTTCCGGGTTCGTAGCTTTATGTTCTTGGACACGAGAAGCAGGCTTTAGGGGGTCGGGCTTGAAAGTGTTGATTCGGAGCTTCGGGTTTGGAGCCCTAACCCGAGACCCCGACTCCCCAACTTTGTAACGGCACACGATATGAAGCTTCAAACTGCTAAGCCCTTAAGCCCTGCACCCAAATTTC